CCCCCCCCCCCCCCCGGGGCCTTCGGCCACCCCGGGCAATGCCCCTGCCGGCGCCGCCCCCCTCGCTCCGTACACGCAACCTGGCGGGGGTGGCTCGGGCCCGCAGCCCGGGGAGGGAGGGGGGCCCTTTGCTTGCTCTTGCGGGCCCCGGGAAGGGCGTGATGAACCCCCCGGGCAGGCTGGGCCTGGGGCCGGGCCGAAGTCCTTTCAGGGGGGTGCGCCTGGGAGGCGCAGGGTCTGGCCGCGGGGTGGGTCGCGGCGTGGCGGGGCGCCCCGGGCGCTGGGTGGGCGCTCTGGATTGCTAACGGCTGCGGTTTGGCTAAGCTTGCGGAGCCGAGAGGAGACTGGGCGCCGGAGGAAAGGAGCTTTTTTAAAAGCGGGGAGAGAAGAGGGAGACGCGAGGAGCGAGGGCGGGATGCGGGCAGGAAGCTGGCGTGTCCTGAGCGCCTACTCTGCCCCAATAGGTGGGTCGGTCGCCCATTTCCCCGGCCGGCGCGGGGAGGGCGCGCGCCTGGGACGCGGCCACCAGCTACGAAGCGGCCGAGTGGGGATGCGAACCGCTCTGCCGCCCACCGGCTGGTTTCACCTTGAGAAACGCCGACGCGAGCGAGAGGGGCGTGGCGGGGCCGGACGGAGAAAGTCGGGGGGCTGGAGGGGGACGCGGGAGGGCGGGGCGCCTGTGAGGGATCGTGGCTGCTGGGTGGGGACCCTGGAGGGGAGGGAGCCGCTGTCTGGCCGACCGTCTGGGTCCCACCACCCAGAGGGCGCCACAGGGCCCCGCTTCACTCCTCCCGCGGCCTTTCAGCGCCCCCGCGTGGGAGCTCCTGAGCCCGATTCCCCTCCTAGAACTCGGAGTTGGCGGATCCAGGCGGGGCCAGAGCGGGTGGTGGACTCCACCGCTCGTCCCTTGGACGGAGGGGCAGGAGGGGGCTGGGCCATCAGGACGCCGGGTGGGTAGCCTTTTGGGGGTGGGCCGCCGCGGTCCCCCCTAGAGGGTGGGATGAAAGTGCCCTGGGGTGAGTGATTGGCACAATAGCCTTTGCCCCCTGTGCTTGGACCCTTCCAGCCGCAGCCGCTAAGGCCTCTGAAAAAGGCAGCGGCTCCCCCATCTTTGAGGTTACATTCATGCATTTATTCAGTGATTCTGGATTTCCTGAGCACTTTACATCATGGGAGTTGCCCGGGAACAGATGAAAAACAGACAAGCGTTGTAACAGTGTTAACACGGGCAGAAAGTGCCTGGCAGGGCACTTGGGGAGAAACAAAGAGTCCTCCCTCACCCACGTCTGCATTGCGGGGCACTTCCGACACTTGTCCCGGACAGAACCCTGAGTTGGGAAAGTGGGTCTCTGCACCCAGAGTGCTAGGGAGCGCACGGAGCTGCTGCCCTCTGTGCCCAGACACTGTGTGGGCAGATTTCCCTGCCACAGCCGTGACAGATGATCGGGCCTTGCTTTTGGCATTTCTAGCCCCTCAGCTATGCCCGGACTATCTCTGGGAGGGTCAACCGGTTTCAGAAAGAAATTCTCTGTCCTGAGAATGATTCAAAACAGTCCCTGACCTTGCCTTTGTCACCAGGCACCTCCCCCACCATCAAAGGGCCCTGGGAGCTACTCACCCTGCCTCCCTTCTCCATCACCTTTCCCCATGTGGCCTGGACCCACCCACACCGTCCTTTCCCAATTAGGCTCTATAGCAGTGGTTCTCAACCTCATCATCAGTAACAAAGAAACAGAATTTCCAGAGGATGAGGCCCAGAAATCAGGATTTTAACAAGATTCCCAGGTGATTCTAATGTGCAGCCAAGGTTGAGAGCCACTGCTCTATAGGGAAAGACTAAGTGTGCACAGTTGGGGGTATTTGCCCACAAGAAGGATGTAAGTCAATAGAAAGAAGTGAAGCAGAGCATAGTGGCTAAGAGTAAGTGTGCCGCGCCAGCTCAGCCAGGTTCGGTGAGCCTGAGAGGGGGCGGTGAAGGACTAAGAAAAGACAGAGGAGAGAAGAAAGCTGGGTCTAGGTGGGACGCTGCCCTCTCTGATGGAGAGACAGCGCCACGGCTTGAAGGCCGAGTCTTTATTTTATAACCAGTTTCCATGAGGGAAAGTAAGGGCGCGGTCTCAACGTTCTCGTGGGTTTCGAATCTAGTCAATTACAT